CATTAGCTAATTTGATAAAAAAGGGGAAAAAAAGAAAAGTAAATTGCCAAAATAAAATAAGAAAAAGGAAACTTCACAACAGATGAAAAGGAAATAAAGGAAATTATAAAGATGAAAACTATTTTTGCCCAATTGTATGCCAACAAAACTGATACATAAAATGAAATGAAATCTACAAAATATGAAATGCTCAGATTAACAAAACAATTAATGGGAATTTAAATAACCCAATCTCAGAAGAAGAAATTGAATAAACCATAAAACTTATGGCATAAATGAACTCAGAAGAGGGAAAACCCCAGAACCAGACAGATTTACAAGTGAATGCTATCCAATATTTAAAGAATAATTAACTCCAATTTTACATAAATTGTTTGCAAAAATAAGAAAATATAGTATCCTACCAAACTCTTTCTATGAGACAAATATGATTCCAGATATCTAAACCAGGGAGAAAAAAAGTAAGAGAAAAAACCTAAAGAGCAGTATTTTTTTTAAAAATATTGATGTAAAAATAGTGAGTAAAATATTAGCAAATAGTAAAATGAAAACATTATACATGATGGCCAGGCTAGCTTTATGCAAGGGTTATAGAGTTGTTTTCATATTATGAAAATTATAAACACAACAGAACATATTAATAACAAATCAATAAAATCATAGAGTTATATGAATACTGGAAAAGGTTTATATATTAAAAAACATTAAGAAGAACAAGAAAAAAAAATAGATCTTTCCTTAATATGATCAACAATATCTATCTAAAACCAAGAGCTAACATCCATGATGGAGAAATTCTACAGGCCTTTTCAATAAGATTATGGGTGCCCAATCTGGGTAAAAAAATACTGTATTATGTATTACTTACTATTATTGTTTGGACCTAGCTGTATTGTTTAACCTAGATATTGTGGAATGTATGGGTCACCCTGATCCCAGGGGCCCATCACGGATACCAGACTGCTTGTTTTGGGTCCACTCAGGTTTTGGTTCTGGTTTGCCCAAAAGCTAGCTTTACCTGAATTTATTGAATGTTTATATTTTCCTGCTGATATAGAGTTCTCCCTTTTCTACATACTGACTACTGCTTGTCTTTATGCCCCGGTTTGAAACCTCACAGAAACTCAGAAGGGAGCCACACTTTTTTTCTGGCTCTCTCCTCCACCAAACTGACTTAATAAAATTCTTTCTAAAAAACTTTTTTTTTTTTAGGTTTTTGGGGTTTATTCTTGACTGACAATTCTCACTACTATTATTTGACATAGTTATAACTATTATGGCAATAATATAAGAAAAAAGAAATTATGAGAATAAGTATAGGCAAAAAAAGAAACAAAATTCACTTTTTGAAGATATTTTGGTGGTTTACTTAGAAAACCCTAAAGATTCAACTTAAAATTAGTTTTTAAAAATTAGCTAATTCATTAAAGTAGCAGGATATTTTAAAAACACCAAAGATCATCAGCCTTTCCATATATTACCAATAAAACCTGAAAGAAGTAGAAGAAATTCCACTCAAAATAAGCACAATATCAAGGAGACTACCTAATAAGACACACACAGAAGAACTGTGTGACTACAACTATAAAACATTCTTTACAGAACTAAGAGAAGATTTAAATAATTAGAGAGAGATTAATTGCTCATGGTTGGGCCCTGCAAATAATAATAGCCAACAATTTAGATGGTATTTTAAGATTTGCAAAGTACTTTACATGTGTTACTGCATTTGATCTTCATAATAACCCTATGAAAAAGTTGATATTAATATCCTCATTTTACAGATGAGGAAACTGAAGTCTGAAGAGGTTAAGTAACTTGCCCGTGGCCATGATAAATGTCTTAGGGAGAATTTTTTAAAATAATATTTTTCCCAATTACATGTAAAAACAATTTTTAACATTCTTTTTTTTTTTAATTTTGAGTTCCAAATAGCCTTTTTCCTTCCCTCTCCCTCAGATGGTAAGCAATTTGATACAGGTTATACATATGTAATCATGCAAAACATATTTCCATATTAGTCATATTGTGAAAGAAAGCACAGACAAAAAAAAACATGAAAAAAATAAAGTGAAAAATAATATGTTTCAATCTGCATTCAGACTTTAGTTCTTTCTGTGGAGGTGGATAGCATTTTTCATCATGTGTTAGGGAGGATTTGAACTCAGGTCTATCTGCATTCACTTACTATCTAATTTACAGAATTGATGCCATGCCAATCAAACTACCGAAGAATTACCTGTTAGAGAAAATAACAACTAAGTTCATCTAGAGGAAGAAAAGGTCAAGAATTTTAAGGGAAATAATGAAAAAAAAATGTAAAGAAATGGGATGTAGAAGTAGCCAAATTCAAACTATACTACAAATGCAGTAATACTACAAAACAATTTGGTAGTGATGAAAAAATAGAAAAGTTGATCAATAAAACATATTAGATGCATAATATCAAGAAGTAATTGAATACATTGAATACAATGTTCAATAAACTCAAGGACAATTGCTGAGGGTAAGAATTTATTAGTAAAAAAGATGATTGCACAGAAACTACAAACCTGTTATGTACAACTTGCTATTCTTTTTAAATATATAATAAAGTTATTATGTAAATGTCTTTTTTCTTTTTCTTTCTCTCCTCCCCCTCTCCCTTCCCCCCACCCAGAGACATATAAAACAGTCTGGGAGAAATTAGATTTTTACTAACCTTTCACACCATATACCACAATATACTCCAAATGAATATATGACTTAGATATAAAACGTTACATCATAAACAAAATAAGATGATCAGGGAAGGCAGTACTTGAAAACAGACATACCACTAAGACTTCCCCAGCCCCATATTTCTAAGCGATCTTCCCATAGCATATTTCTAACAAATGCACATCAATAGTACATCCAAGAGACATCACAGGCTGCTTCTGCTATTGGGTGTCTCTGGATGTAGTACATGAATGACCTGATAATTCATGCATATGCCTAGTACCCAAGCAAAAAATCCTAAGAGCAAAACAAAACAAAGTAGAAATAATTATATCAAAATGTTCATTAAAAAAGCAAACCATTCATAGGCATTAGTGTATGTGCAAATAAGCTGAAACTGTCCATTGCTAACAGATTTCCCACACTACCTACTAACTAAACTGAATAAAGATAACAGCAAAATAATATGAGTTACAAGTCTGAGGCACAGCAGGCCTGCCATTTTGGCTGGAATACAGACTATCCAAAGAAGAGAAATATGCAATAAATTGGAAAAGAAAAGCTCCATCTCAATCTTTTATCTCCCAGCCTTTGTGCCTGCACAGATTCCCCCCTCACCTTTGCCTCTTAGAAATCCTTATTTGCTTTAAAACTACTTTAACACACTTTCTACATAAAACTTTTCCTGAGTCCCCCCCCCCCAGCTTCTAATAGCCACTCCAATAAATTTACCTTGTATTCATCTTGTCTATACTTTGTCCATATTTGATTTATGTATATATTGCCTCCCTGATAGAATATAATTTCCTTGGGCTCAGGGACTGGTTTCTTGTGTTATTTTTTCTTCCTTCTGTCTTTGTATCTCCAGTGCCTAGAAGAGTGACCGCCACAAAGGTAAACAATACACACGAACATATTGATTGATTGAGTGGAACCAGATTGTGATGGTCTTTAAATGCTGAACAGCTGAACCAACAGTATGTAAAGGGAGTGTGTAGTTTGTATCCAAGGTGCTGGATACAAATGGAGCCTCTTGAGCGGGAGTGAACTTTAGAAATGTCCTATCTGCCTTTCTACTTTCACTTTGCGGGATTTTTTACCACTCGTTCCCATCGCACTCCCAGTTGGTGTCATCATTTCACTGCTGTTGCTCAGATTTTATTCACTGGGTCTTCTAGAAGATTATTCTAGTTACCTCCGCTCCAGGAATTTGCTCTTGAACAACTCTCATTTACTGAGATATTACCTGGAGCCTCAGGTGGCCCTGTTATATCTTTAATATTTGCATGGCCAGAGTGCCTCTGACCTATATTAACCCCTGTTGTCTTACAGGTGGGACACTAATCCTAAGCACCTAGGCGGTGGGCTTTCCTCCTCCTTTCGGCACCTCCCGTGAGGTATTTTTTTTTCTTGCATTTATTTTCTTTTTAATTTTGCTGATTTTTAAGGCAATTCCTAGAAGACCCCTGACATTGCTGTTGGCATCAATGGAACCCCACGATGAAGAGATCCTCCATCTAGGAACAGCGGTCCTTAAACTTGTTTGGGTAATGGATCCATTTTGGCAATCTGGTGAAGCCTATAGACCCCTTCTCAGAATAATGTTTTTAAATACATTAAATAAGCTAGGAAACCAATTATATTGTACTGCAATTTCTTTTAGGCTCAGACAGATCCCAAGTTCAGAATCCCTGACCTAGAATGAACACCTGGGAAGTGTTTTTTAGAGGACATTATGTGATTTAAGATGCTGCGATTTGCCTGTAAATGCATATCTAAAGTAAGCTGATTGTAATCTAAAAAAAAAAAATCTCCCTTTTGAAGACAAAAACAAACAAAAAAAAAAAAGATGCTTTGAGGAAGAATTGGAAAAATCTTGACTCTGTTGCCTGTCCAGTTAAGAAGGGTGCAGACCAGTCTTGCAAATTGTACAGTTAATATGCCACCTGTAATTTTTCAAAATCTGAGACAGTTTTCCTCACTCCAGGGCTCCAGTGAGCCGCTCAGGTTACGTAACTAGAGAATGGGGTGCACGAGTTCCTGCACGCTGGGTCCTGGTAACGAGTTAATTATTGATTAATATGAATAAATTAGGTCTGTTACTAACGGCCTTTTTCTACGTGGCCGAGCACCAGATTTGCGCGGAGTAGGTGGGCAGATCGTTCTCTCCAGGATCTCCATTTTGAGTGCAGAGAACAGGAAGGCGTGTTTTAGGACGAGCCACGTGAGACTGTCGCCCCGCGGGGGGTGACCGAGGCCGGGCTCGTGGGTCTTCGCGGCGCGCGCGCCCTGGTCTGGGGAAGCCGTGGGCTCTCGGTGGCTGCTGGCACGCGCGGCTTGGAGACAGGTTCGGGCGCCGACTTCGCGGGGGCGGGGTGGGGGTAGGGGCGAGAGCCGGGGCAAAGGAGCTCCCTGCAGAGCTGGTGTGGATGTGTAATGCCCAGCCGGAGGGCGCACGAGGCGCGGGGCGGGCCAGAAGGGTGGAGGCTGTGTGTCCCTGGCATGCCTTGTTCCTGTCTACCTGTGCGGCACATCCACGCGGTGGCACCCCCGACTCCCTCCATTAACACACCCGATGGCAGTCCTACCTCCCTCTCCAAACACACATAAACCTCCTCACACACATAGTGATATCCTCTGTCCCTCCTCTGACACATGCACAGAAGCATCCTCATCTTTCTGTTTAAATACACATACACCCCTCACCCAGTCTCCTTCTCCAAACACATATGACAACCCCTCTTCTCCCCTCCACAGACGTAGTGACAGCCTCTCTCCCTCACCTAACGCTGGCACAGAGACTTTGTCCTCATCTCTCTGTCTCCAAACACAATGCACCCCTCACCCCATCTTCTCCTCCAAACACACCCTTTCTCCTCCTCTAAACATATCAATATACACATAGTGGCACCCTTTCTCCCTCCCCTAACACACATACACACACATACCCACACATACATAGGCATCCTCATTCTCCCCAAACACACATACCGGTATGGAGTGGCAATCCCCTTTTCCTCCCCTAACGTGTGTGTGTATATGTATATATGTATATATATACATATACACACACACATCATCATCATCTCCCTCTCCACATACACACACTCATGACTTTTAGCCCAAATGAAGCCTAGGAGATCAGGGGTATAAAACAAAAAAGGCTCCCAGTTCCAGGGTGGTGCCTTCCTGTCCTGTCAGGACGTCTGACTTTTCCCTTGCTTTGTTAACAACAAAACTGAATGGCTTCTGAAGATTCCTATGCCTCAGTTTCAGCTTCAGGTCTCTGTAAAGGTCTCTGTAATGTTTTCCTGAAAAAGCAGTCTAGGAGAGAGTTATAGGATGTTACAAAAAAACCACTTTTCCTTAAAACTTCATTAGGACCTATGGCACTTTAAGTTTTATCTACACAATTGGAGAATTTTTCTTTGTAAGGTATACAGCTTTTAATTGCATTTACATTTACTCTTTTAATCTAAAGGCGTCTACCTCTGGGTCTTATTTTCAGTAGAAATTCTAGCAATGGAAAAGAAATTATTGTTGGTTGATGTTGATGCTGGAGTGGATGATGCTGCTGCCTTAATGGTGGCACTGGCAGCGCCGAATGTTGAAGTCCTGGGTATCACTTGCTGTTTCGGAAATACTACAGTGGAAAATGTGTGTAAAAATGTCCTTCGGGTATTAAAAAAGTGTAACCATTTACAGGTAACTTTTCTGTCTTGTGAGTCTCTGTATTGCACATTAACAATTCAGTTCAATAGACATATATTAAGTGCCTATTATGTTCAAGGCAACGCACTAGGGATTTGTTGTTTGATTGATAAGTCATGGCCAACTCTTTGTGACCTCATTTGAGGCTGGTGAAGATACCGGAGTGTTTTGCCATTTCCTTCTCCAGCTCATTTTATAGATGAGGAAACTGAGGCAGACATGGTTAAATGATTTGACCAGGGTCACACAGCTAGTATCTGAGGATGGATTTGAAATAGCAAGCCACTCCAGTATGTTTGCCAAGAAACCTCAAATGGGGTCACTAATGACTGAACAACAAAAATGATTTACAGACAAACAAAACTAACTTGCAGGACCTAAGTTTGCTGCTTGATTTAAAAAAATAAAAGAAGAAAAAATACGGGAGTGTCCATCTCCATTGCTTATATAAATCCATTGTTTAAAATCGTATTGTCCTGTATACTGATGAGAATTTAAAGGGACTATAAAGTATGACTGGATTAGACTGAATGATAAAACTCCACAGCGATTTGAAAATTTTTTAAAATTCCACTTGAAATAAATTATTAAAGATGTAGATGTTTTAAATGAAGTTCCCTTGTGATTTCCTCATGTGGGAACTCCTTCTACCAAGGTGGAATGATCACAAAGAGTGGTCTGAGGCTCAGGGACATTAAATGACTTATTCATGGTTAGACAGCTAGGTCAGAGGTGAGATTTAAACCCAGTTCTTCCTACCTCCAAATCTAGCACCCTCCCTGCACTACACTATGTTGCTTCTCATCCAAGAATCACTAATAAACAGAAGGAGAAATTGAGAAGTGGTTTTTATATTACAAGCCATTATTCTAATCGAAAAGCTAAAATGTATAAAGTCATATGTTTAATGTTCCAACTACATTAAGTGATATAATTTGTCTACCGAATGCATTAAAATTATTTCATTTCAAAATTTTGACTTGTAAAAACAAACTAGTGAACGTTGGTAGGTCAGTTATTTTACATGGAATTACCGAAGTCACACTTAGAGTATCTTCAAGTTAACTCAGCTGATTAGCAATTAGTCAAAGCTGCAGTTTGCATCAGTTGTGCAAACAAACTTGAGGTGTGGTGGGTTCCCCCTCCTAGCAGGGCTTTAGGAGTAAGCTGAATGACTACTTGTTAAGTATAGTCCTTTTACATATTACATTTTTGTTGTTCAGTCATTAGTGACCCCATTTGAGGTTTCTTGGCAAAGATACTGGAGTGGCTTGCTATTTCCTTCTCCAGCTCATTTTACAAATGAGAAAACTGAGGCAAACGAGTTAGTGACTTGTCCAGGGTCACACAGTGTCTAAGGCCATATTTGAACTTAGGTCTTCCTAACAGCCCAGCACTCTATTCACTGAGCTACCTAACTGCTCTTGTGAAAATCATAAGATTATCCTAATCTATTCACGTATTTGTTCATGGCTTTGAATTTTTGAGCTCTCAGTAGAAGAATCTGAGATACTATAAACTTTTGTTCCTCCAGCCCCCATCTATATTGCAAATGGGACAGCACCAGAACTAGAATATGTCATTTGGAAAAGAATTTGTGACATAAAGAAGTCATTTTAGTAACATTATTAGAAGAAAACTCACTATTTAGTCTTTTTTAACTAAAATTGTCCCTATGGAAATGTGGGGGATAGATTGCTTCATCCTGGCATGACTGTACCTGGTGGACTTCACCTTTGAGGTACCATACCCTCACTCTCCATCAGACTCTCTCCTGTGCTGTTGCTCTTTTGTCCCTAAGTCAACTTAATTTATCTCAGAATAAGTTTTGACTGACTCTGACTTAACAGAAGAGCACAAGCTATGGTGTGTTCTACTATGTGAGCAAAGTTCTGATTTTGGTTCCAGTAACAGGAATAGCCTACCTTACTACAGAGCGACTCGTCACTTGTAGATTGGTGATTTCATGATGAAGTCTTTGGTCATCCAATAAACCATTTTTACTCTTAGATTTTGGAGTCAAATACCTTTTTAATTTGTAATTACTCATAATTATTATTAATTAAAAATTTAGTGGGTTTCTCAATCACACTCAGGCTGGAAGTGTAGGGGCCACTCGAGATTGGATCCCATTGCTCATCCACACAAGACCTTTCTTTGATTTGCAGCTTTAATTACCGAGGTCAGCTCACCCCTCCTAAGGCAACATGGTAGCCCCCTGCTCTTGAGGATTCATCACATACCAAGGCCTGACTTAATGCAGGCAAGATCAGCTTAGCGCAGAGCTCTGGAGCTCAAGAGATCGCCCTGCCCCTGGGTCTCCTGTAGCTGAGATTACACGCATGTGCCACCACAGCTGACATGATTTGATGTTTATAGCTGCATGCTTTCACATGGGAAACATGAGCCTTTCATTTTTTTTTTAATAATTGGGTCAGTCTGACTCTTCTCACTGAACATTTCATTTCAGATCCCAGTGTACCAGGGCGCTTCTTCCCCTTTACTTAATACAACGAAAAAAGATTATTTTTATGGAACAGACGGTTTAGGGGACGTACCTGATGCTAATGCTCCTGCATTCGACCAAGTGCAACAGGAACACGCTGTAGCTGCAATGATAAGGATCATCAGTGAGAGACCTAACAAGGTGACATTGTCAAGGCTGTGGTGCCATGGTTGGTCTGCCATTGTTCTAGCACCTAGACTTATGCATGGGTGAAGGAAGGAAGGAAGTGTTTACCTGTTATCTTCTTTTATCATATGGCACTAGACTCCTGTTGACACAATATAATGTTTGTTGTTCAGTAGTTTTAGTTGTGTCTGACTCTTCATGACCCCACCTGGGGTTTTCTTGGCAAAGGTACTAGAGTAGTTTGGCATTTCCTTCTCCAGCTCATTTTATAGATGAGGAAACTGAGACAAACAGGGTTACATGACTTGCATACAACTATTATGTGTCAAGTGTCTGCGGTCGGATTTGAACCCAAGTCCTCCTGACTCTAGGGTGGGTGTTCTACCCACTGCACCACCTAGCTGCCCCAAAGTTAAATCTTTATGGCCCAGAGAGTGATAGATGGAGGCTGGATGATAAATACACATAGGTGGTTTTAAACTGATTGGCTGATTAGACCCAAGGAGTGTTTTGTTTGTTTTGTTTTGGTATGAGAAAATACTTTGTAATCTATGGAAATGCTATACAAATGTAAGGTATTATTACTGTTACTATTGTTATTGTTCTCATCTTATATTTGACAATGTTCAGATAGAAATTGCCTTGAAACAAGTTGCTATCCTACATTATTCTTTTATCTTTGATATTCTTGTATATTTGACATGTACTTCTTTAAGAAGTAACAACGCTTTAGATCTATAATAACTTATCTCTCAGACTCCTGGAGCCCACATACCTTTAACCATTCCCAGCCCCTTTAGACCTTTGCTATTACTAGAAGCTTTGTCCGGGGCCATTCATTATGCTTGATATTCAGGTGAATGAAATAATTGCTTTTTGTAACTGAGTAAAAGTGTTGTGATGCAAGCTTATTACCTTACCCCAGTGAGTGTTGATGGATGGACCAATGGAGCTAGAGGAAAGAAGTCTCTAGTGGAATATACCAACGCTTTGTCTTTGCCCTGGCTCTGTCAACAATTAATTTCATCAATAACGTAGACCAAAGGCATAGATGTTATGCTTATTGAATTTGTAACTACTGGGAAGCTGAAAAGATTAGCTGATATAGTGGATGACAGAACTGTCAGGATAATGGGCAGAAGGAAAAAAAAAAGATGAAATCTAAAGGTCTAAGGGTAAAGTTCTGTTTGAGCTTGAAAAAAAAAAACAACTATGCAAATGTAAGTTAGGGGAGACACAGCCAAAAACCAGTTTGTGTTTTAAGAACAAAACAAAACCGGGTGGAGGTGGAGGAGATGGTATGTTGCAAGCTCAATGAGGCAGCAGCATGATGTGGCTCCCAAGAACAAAAACGACTTTGGGCAACATTAAATAGAAGTCTAGAGATAGATAAAAGACCCACTGTATTTAGTCTTGTAGAATACTCTCTCTGGAGAATTTTGCAGCACAATTCAGAAGAGCCACTGGAGGAGTGGAGTATATCTAGAGAGGGGTGAAGAGGTACTCAAGTGCCTTAAGAAAATGAAGGCTAATGAGGTTCGGTTGAAGACCTGGGAATGTTTATTTAGCCTGGAGAAAAGGGGGTAAGGGCGGGCAAGATGGCTGTCTTCAAGTTTTAAAGAAGGTATAACTATAGTAAATGGGTGAAACTTATGTGGAAACATATTTCTATTTTATCTTAGGAGAAATTTCACAATGATTAGAACTATCACATACCATTATTGGCAGGTGGCTTCAAAGGGGTTAGTAAATTCCCCTTCTCTGAAGTCTTCCAGCGGAGCCTAGATGTCCAACTTGAGAGTAGTAATGTAGTTGGGATTGGTGGTTTGGGTAGGGGGATGTACAATATAAATTCTGCAATAACTGCTAACTCTAAGATTTTATAAGTCTCTGACTAGTTATAATAAAATGTAGAGAAGTATGACTTTGTATTTTGCAGGTAACTCTGATTGCTACTGGGCCTTTGACTAATTTAGCTCTGGCAGTGAAAATGGACCCAATATTTCCTAAGAAAATTAAAAATATGTTTATAATGGGAGGCAATATGTACTGTAAGTAGTTTTTTAAAAAAAATTAAATTAAAACTTAAATACATGATAAGAAAAGAAAAAGAAACATTGTAAACTTATATTAAAAGTTAAATATAAAAGAAAAATATGTCACGTGCACAACAGAATGTAAGAGAGGATTCAAAATATATGGCAATAAATCTTCATTTCAAGAAAGCCTATATGTTAAATACTATGCATTGTGTTGAGAGCTATCCATCTTTTCTTTGCTTCCTTGTAGGTTTTCTTTTGTTCTCTGCTGCACACTTTTTACTTTGTTCTTTTTTCCCCCTTTTTCTCCCTTTCACCGCCCACCCCAGGCTACAATTAAATGTGGTTATATATATATACACATACATACATATAAACACATATGCTTACCCTAACAGATTCTACTCCTAATCTTTATTTTTATATTTGTGCATATCTCTTATTTCCTATCCCTCCTGACTCCTCTACTTTACTTCTACTCGCTACTTTACCCTCCTGTTACTTAAACTACTCCCCCTCCAACAATCCCTCCCTTATCCTCCCATTCCCATAAATCTAAATATCCTTCTATACACTGCTTTCATCTGTTCCCCAACCCACCCCTCTAAAGATCAGTCCCTTATCCTTTCCCCTAAATAATTTTGAAAGATATATACATATATCTACATAGTCATTACAATTAAAAGTAATGATAATGCTTATCAACAATTAATTGATAATTCCTTATTAATTACAATTAGTGATAATAAAACAATGATAAAAATACCTTTTGGAAGGATAGTATATTTCCTCTAATTTCATCATCATCATCACCTTCTTCATCACCACCACCACCAGTATCATCATCATCTTTAAGCATTGTTCCAGGCATAGAACTAAGCTGGGGATACAAAAAAGGCAAACAAACAAACAAAAAAAGACCCTGCCCTTAAGAAGATCAGCATTCTAATTTCCATTTCAGAATGAGTTTGTCATTCTTGACTTTTAGAGGAAAGTTAACTTACCCCTACATATAAACAATTGCCAGACAATTTAAAGTGCTTTATCCCTTGGTTTCCTTTCCTCTTTCTACAAAGCAATTTACTGCTTTAAGTCAAACCAATTGCTATGAATACAATTTTCTCTTTTTTTAATATTTTATTTTTTCTAATTTCATATAAAAACATTTTACCATTAGTTTTTAAATTTTTATATTTTATTTTTTCCAGTTTCATATAAAATTTTTAATATTTGTTTCTTTTTAATTTTGAGTTCCAAATTCTCTCCCTCTTTCTCTCCTTATTCCTTCAGAAGACAAGCACTTTGATATAGATTATACATATACAGTCATGCAAAACATATTTACATATTAGCCACGTTGTGAAAGAAAACACCAAAAACAAGAAAATAAAATTTAAAAGGAAAAATGCTTTGACCTGCATCCATCAGTTTTTCCTCAGGAGATGGATAGAATTTTTCATTATCAATCCTTGAGAATTGTCTTGGATCATTATATTGCTGAGAATAGCTAAGTGATTCAAAGTTTATCATTATACAGTATTGCTGTTACTGTGTACAATGTTCTCCTGCTTCTTCTCACTTCACTTTGCATCAGTTCATGTAAGTCTTCCCAGGTTTTTCTGAAAGCATTCTGCTTGTCATATTTATAGCACAAATAATATTCCATTACATTCATATACCACAACTTGTTCAGCCATTCCCCAATTATGGGCATTCCCTTGATTTCCAATTCTTTGCCATTACAAAAAGAACTGCTCTAAATATTTTTGCTATAAATATTTTCCTTTTTCTTTGATCTCTTTGGGGTACAGAGCTAGCAGTGGTATTGCTGAGTCAAAGGATATGCATAGTTTTATAGCCTGTTGAGCATAGTTCCAAATTGTTTTCCAGAATGTTTGAATCAGTTCATGATTCTAACAATAGTTCATTAGTTACCAATTTTCCTATATCCCTTCCAACATTTGTTATTTTACTTTTCTGCCATATTAGCCATCCTGATAGGTGTGAGGTAGTACCTCAGAGCATTTCTTTTTTTTGTTTTCTTTTGTTTTGTTTTGAGGCAGTTGGGGTTAAGTGACTTGCCCAGGGTCACACAGCTAGTAAGTGTCAAGTGTTTGGTCTGAGGCCGGATTTGAACTCAGGTCCTCCTGACTTCAGGGCCGGTGCTCTATCCACTGCGCCACCTAGCTGACCCTAGAGTATTTCTTTAATAGTGATTTAGAGCATTTTTTCACATGACCATAGATAGCTTTGATTTCTTCTTCTGAAAACTGCCTGTTCATATCCTTTGACCATTTGTCAGCTGGAGAATGACTCACATTCTTATAAATTTGATTCCGTTATCTATATATTTGATTCTTTTTTAAATTTTTAGGCAATTGGGGTTAAGCAACTTGCCCAGGGTCACACAGCTAGTAACTGACAAGTGTTTAGTCTGAGGCTGGATTTGAACTCAGGTCCTCCTGACTCCAGGGCCGGTGCTCAATCCCCTTCGCCACCTACCTTCCCCCTATATATTTGAGAAATAAGGCCTGTATCATAGAAATTTGCTGTAAACATTTTCCCTCAGTTTCCTGCTTTCCTTCTAATCTTGGCTGCATTGGTTTTGTTTGTACAAAAATGATTTAATTTAATGTATTCAAAATTATCCATTTTATATCCTGTAATGCTCTCTATATCTTGTTGGTCATAAATTCTTCCCTTATCCATAGATCTGACAGGTAAAATATTCCATGCTCCCCTAATTTGCTTATTGTATTACCCTTTATTTCTAAATCATGTACCCATTTTGACCTTATCTTGGTATACTATGTGAGATGTTAGTCTATACCTGGTTTCTGCCAATTTGTTTTCTAGTTTTCCCAGCAATTTTTGTCAAATAGTGAGTTCTTGCCCCAAAAGCTTGTATCTTTGCATTTATTAAACACTAGATTATTATGGTCATTTACTACTGTTATGAATACAATTTTCAATTAAGATCTCACTATTAAGAAAGATCATGAAGACTTTCAAAGCTTAGTTATTTTGATTCAACAAAACTGGAAAGAAATAAATGGGTAGGTAAGAGGCAAAGACGTTGTCAATCTATAATGGTCATTCCTTCCCCATCTTCTTACCTCTCAAACCTCTGAAGCCCACACATCTTCATATGTGCCAGCCCCTTTGCACCTCTATCATTACTAGAGGCCCTATCCTAAATCACAGACACCCCATCAGTGACTTAGTGGTGAGGGAATCTCTATTTCCTTTGTTCAGTGGAGAGAGGTGAGAGGGAGTCCCCTCTTCCCTCTGCCGGAGTTAGGCTGTGGAAACTGGGGAGGTGATATTGGAGTGGAGATATGTTTAAAGACAGTCTGAAGTCAGAACTCTAGTCCCATTTTCCAACAGAGACATTGTTATAAAAGTTATATGCTTATATGACTATATATATAATTTTATTTCAATTTTATATTATATTTAGTTTCCAATACTCTCCATTCCTTTCTCCCTCTCTATTCCATTGAGAAAGAAAGAAAAACAAAACCAGTTACAAATATATATAATCATGCAAAACAAATTCCCACATTAGCCATGTGCCTAGATATTTTAAGGACATTATGGGTTAGGTAGGTTTCATAGGCTGACCTGGGATTCTGATTAATGTCTATAACATTGTTTCTATGGGAAAATACTTGGGTCCTAAAGAACCAACTTATTCATGAACTTTCACTGAACAACTAATTAGTTGAGTTCTTTCTTTCTAGAATTTGTTTCCATTTTTATGTATTTATTTGGACAATGAGAAAATATAAGATCTAGTGAATGATTTTTTGTGTTTCTTTCTATGTATTTCACTAGCCAGAGGAAACATTGATATCTGTGCAGAATTCAATTTTGCAGCAGACCCAGAGGCAGCTTACATTGTCTTAAATGAATATACTTGTCCAACTGCTATTACGACTTGGGAATTTGCAAGTTCTAATTCGCTACCTTGGGTAAGTTGTTAGATATTCATTGTCCCCTTGCATTTCTGAAATATGCAATGACATACCCTTCATGGTAGAAGAAAGGATTCAGTCTCTAACTCTCTTTTTTAACACTCAGTGACATTCAGTCAGGGGCTTGCCAGAGCCAGCTCACAATGAATGGTGAGGGCCAATTGTTAATTTTCAGTGTGAGTATTTATACCTTGGAAATCATCGGGGCTTCATTTATTGTTCTGTTGATTGTCTAGACTTAAGAATGGGATGGAGAAGATATTAATAATTCAGATTAAACTTAAAAATATGTCCTGAAGTACATAGTTGCCCTACTTCTTTCCCTTCCCCCAGCCAGTAGTTAAACATTTACCTTCACATCCCACCATCGTGGCTATTGGGCTAATGAAGATTCCTAGAATTTGATTTAAACACGTGCTCGAGCCTCGCGCATGCACACGCACACACACACAATCAGCAACCACTATTACCATGTCTTCAGGTGGACATATGCAGTCATGTTTGCATTATTTTAGCGATAGTAGCATATTAGACATGGTATGTAGCAGTATTAGACATAGTATGTATGAAAACTGAAATGGAGGTGTTAAGTAACATAGAATGAAAAGAATTGTTGTTTTGTTGTTGTTTTAGTTGTGTCCAACTCTTTGTAACCTCTCTTTCTTGGAGGGGGAGTTTCTTGGCAAAGATACTGGAGTGGTTTACCATTTCCTTCTCCAGCTCATTTTACAGATGAGGAAACTGAGGCGAACAAGGTTAAGTGACTTGCCCAGAGTCACACAGCTATTAAGTGTCCAAGGCCAGATTAGAACTTGGGTCTTCCTGACTCCAGGCCCCACACTCTGTCTACTTCAGCATCTCGTTGCCCAATGAAAAGAATGGCAAATCGGGGCAGCTAGGTGGTGCAGTGGATAGAGCACCAGCCCTGAAGTCAGGAGGACCTGAGTTCAAATTCAGCTTCAGACACATAACTCTCACTAGCTGTATGACTCTGAGCAAGTTACTTAACTCCAATTGCCTCACCGAGGAAAAAAAAAAGAATGGCAAATCCAAAGAGAAATGCCAGTATTTACATTCTTTACTTTTATCTATTGCAATCCCTCATCTTTGCAATAAGAATGCTTTAGGTACCATCCCTGCTAGCTGTCCTTCATCTCTCCTCCTCTTCATGGTCAAACTCCTTCAGAAAGCTGTCTTTCTGAAATCAACAAATGCTACAAATCAAGGCTTTATTTATTATTCTAGACTTAACGAAGTACCTACATTCAGTGCCTAAATTTCTTCTCAAACTTCCCTCAAGTAATAAATACAGATTTGAAGGGGGCAGTATTTAAAGATACCCTACAGTGAAGTAGTTTTTTTTTTAGCAAACTTGTGATTTTGGGGGTCATGAGGAGGGCCCAGGAAGGAATACTCCCCACAGTGAATCAGCTCCTGCTCTGCTACTTTTCTTCTCAGTGAGTGGCCTGGGGCCTGGAGAGCCCACAGTCGTATAGCCAGGATGTGTCAGAGGCGGTGGAACTAAACCCAGGTGTTCCTTACTCCAAGACTGGCATTCTCTCCCTATGCCAAACCACCTCTCAAGCAATTAATTGGCTCCATTGTACAGGGCTATTTATTAGCATCTTTAGAATAAATAGACTGAGGGAGAGAACCAGAGACCTAGGAGCCTTTGATCATCAAAGTGCTATAGCCCTGCAGACTCCACTGATCCAGATGTGCCTGAAACCCTGACCCTCCAAATGAGAAAACTTTGAATTTACGGAGGACTCCATGTACTTCTCATATTCATTCTTTTCTGCTCTGTTGCTTTAATGTCCTGCTTTAATGTTGCATCAGTTAAAGTACAATGTGGGATAGAGAAAGGGAATGGACCTATGATTTTCTTGGGGTAGGAAATTCCTGGGTGGTGAAATTCCTTCTTAATGCAGGTCTCATCTTCTCAGCAATTATAGTTGCCTAGAACACTGAGAGTTTAAGTGACTTTCCCCGGGTCATACAGGAAGTATATTTAGGTAGCCCTTGAATTCAGGGCTTCCCAAGGCTGATCGCCATAATACCCACATCTAGAAGATAGGAAAAGGAGGAATGAGTATGTTAGTACGTAAGCATGACAATAAGCCTTTTCTCATGGCAGATCATAAAAAAGAATGAAGAACAAAGATAATGAAGAGCATTTGTATTTTTCTATGTCTGTAGGAATTTTATGAAAAGTGTACTTCACAGGACAGTGAAAAAGCAAGATTTTTGAAAGAAATCTATACAGTAACCACAGGGTATCAAAAGCGTCCCATTCCCGAGTTAAGAGCCCTCTACCGGAAACCAGGATTTGTGTCTTGCGATTGCTTTGCAATGGCAGCTGCAATTGATGAGGACTTGGTCACAGAATCCATGTTCTGTGCCGTATCTGTGGAACTAACTGGCTCCCATACCCGAGGAATGATGGTTTTGGATATAGAAGACAGGCTTCAGAAGGAAAACAAAGTTTCAATTGCAAAACAGTTGGATATGGAAAAATTCAAAGGTCTTCTGATGGCTGCTTTGAAATAGTAATAATAATAATCATAATAATAACAATAGCTAGCATTGATATAGCATTTAATATTTGCAAAGTACTTTACATATGCTATCTCATTTGACTTGAAATAAAGTTTCCATTATAATCTCACATATAATAATTTTTGTTTTAAAAAGGTATTCAGCTAAAAATTACAATATCAGATATTTTGAAATAATTCAGATTCAAATACACATCCAAATATTAGAACCAAATTCTAATTTTAAAATCTTAAAGGAAATTTCAAAATATTCACTGAAACTGAGTTCTGATAAGGTTTCAGCATGTTGGTGTTTCATGAGGGATAATGTTTAAGTATCTTTATTTGTGTGAATTCAAACTATTTTCATATGATTGCATTGCATGGACTCCAGTCTGAGATCTTTGCAGTTTTCAAAAGCAATGGCTATGTCTGAATCCATTGTGACATTGCGAGAGAATTCAGTGATTTAATTTCCTTTACCTCTTACAGATGGCTTTGTAAATAATTGACAAAGGCAGACCATCAAATGCTACTTTTTGTCTTGATTTTCTAGTTTAAATTAGAATTCAGTTTGTTCCCATGGAAATAGTCTTCTGTTTAATAAAAGTTCAAGTTCTGACTGATATGGTTTTATTATTATTCGTGACAATGGTCTGTGTCTTCTTTTTCTCTGGGATATAGTACTTTCTACCTAGTGTGTACTCAACAGAAGTTGACTGATTACTTGAAAAATGGACATATACAAAGGCACTGTGTTTCTCTCTGCTTTATTAATCTATAAACATGAAAATATTATAAAAAACATATTGTCTCCGTAAAAATTGCCTTAAATAGTATATTGGACTTGCCCAATCAGTAAAGAAAGTCTAGGGGAAAAAATGAGTACTATCCAAAGTGATGGCATGTTTAAAAATTTTATAACAAAGTTTAAAACTTATCTGACCCTGGTACATTTGATTGTTGGTTTAAAATCTTTCTTTTCAGACTCTTTACCCTTTACCCTTCTCTCTCTATACTCAATCTGAAAAGCATTGCCATGGGCCAAGTACAGTGAGCTGAATGGGAGAGAATAACAGAAGGGAGAAAAGGAGCTGATACTCAATTCTAGAGAAAGAAAAGAACTTTACCTCACTTAGCTTTGGAGAGAAGAGAAGAATGGGTCTTATTGAGGCAATGAATCTAAAAATTAACAATAATATAGTTCTTTGACTTCTTAATATATTCTCTTTTTTGAGGTTCCCTTAAAAGCTCCTGTCCCATTCTGTTGTAGACCACAAGTCATCGAGTACAACTGCATGAGGGAAGAAAAGGAAAGATAGGGCTGAATAGATATTCGTGCAATTCAACAAACGTTGCTAAAGATCACACGGTGTTCTATGTGATTTGCACCATAAAGCAGGACACAGTGGTACATCTTGGAGAATTAACGAAGATTAAAGAAGGCACAGTTCCTACCCTTATGGAGGACAGTGACATATGGCCACCCTGTCCCCCTCCCATATGTCTATATGAGGATGAAGGAATGTTGGGTGTAAGCCAAGTTCCTAGTTTTAGAAACTCAAAGATAGACATAGAGGAAAGATAATGATACTACTGCTACTACTTCCTGCCTACCTACCTACCTAACATTTATGTAATGCTTTAAGATTTGCGAAGTGCTTTATATATATGACCTCATTTGAGCTTCATGACAAACCTGTGGAGTTGGTGCTATTATCATCCCCATTTTACATAGGAGAAAACTGAGGCTGAGAGGAGTTCAGCGACTTATCCAAGGTCAAACAGCTAGTAAACATCAGAAGGATTGGAATTCAGGTCTTTCTGACTCCAAATCTGGTACTTAATCTACTGTGTAAAAACCCTGCAGAGCCTTGATATGATAATGCTGTTTTCATTGGGGAGGGGAGAAGGGAGAATGATAAAAAAAAAATCAGAATAACAACCAGAAGAATCAAATCACTAGCAAAGAAAAAAAAGGTTTTGTGCCAGCACTAGGGATGGATAAGTTGGTTAGCCACCAAAGGCACAATGTGTAGGGGCACATTCTCTGATACTCCTTCATATTTTCATGTATTGAGACATTTGTTTATGTGGCTATTCCCCCAGGGGAGTGGAGTCATCCACATCTTCTCATCCCATATGACTCTTATCCGTGTCTTTCCATAAATTATTCATGGGGACGTCCATCCAAAATGCTGTGATCCTTCCCCTAGATCACTTGACATTGCATGGATGCAAATGGAGCATGTGAGCTGCCCATTCATTATCATTTACTCATGACATATGACCAACCCACCTCCCTCTTGAGTGATAGAGCGCTTTGCAAAGTATTACAGCTTACCCTTACTGTGCATTTCTCCAGTGTTCTTGGGGTGACTTCAAAGCTTCAGAGACCGTGATATTCCATGACATACAGGCATACTGCATCAGATGATACCACCACTAAACCTGTACTCCAAAGAGATGACAGAAAGAGGAAAAGTTTCTCTATTTACAAAAATATTTCTAGAATTTTTGTAGTGACAAAGAATTGGAAACTAAGGAGGTGCCCATCAACTGGGGAATGGCTGGGCAAAATATGGTATATGAAATACTATTGTGCTGCAAGAAAAGAAAGAGATTTTAAAGAAACCGGGGAAAATTGTTTGAACTGATAACAGAGTAAGGTGAATAGAACAAGAAGAACAATTTATTACTATGTCAATAAAGTTGTGGAAAAAAATGAACATTTTTTGAAAGGTTCAAGAACTCTGAAGAATGAAATGATCAACCATGATTCCAGAAGCCTGATGACAAAAAATACTACCACCTCCTACAGAGAGGTGATAGACTAAATATGCAGAATCAGATACATTTTTGGACACTACTATTACAGAATTTGTTTTGCTTAACTATGCATATTTGTTACAACAGTTTTGCTTTTCTTCTTTCCTTTTCTGTGGTAAGGAAGGGAACACAAAACAAAGGCTTGCTAATCGAAAAAAAACTAATTACAAGTTTTTGAAAAAGTAGATTAAACAGAAAAAATTAGCCCATTTCAAGGAGATGGTTGGGATTATTAAAATTGTTGCACAATTGTTCAGAGGCAGTTTAATCCACTCTCCTTCTTCTGTTTAATTCTGGGTCCTGTTCATTGTCTATCTTAACATACACACACACACAGAGAGACTAGCTCAGTGGGTTGTCCACTTAACTGTATATCTTAGTGTGGATAATAAGTATTTTTCATCTTCTTTGTTTTCCCTCCATGAGTACTTAGGCTGGATTCTTCTGAATGATTGTAGACTCCCTGTAGAAGATTGTAATGTTTTGGGGCTTGATGCAACGAGAAACATGTCACCCACAAAGAGGAGGATCTTGAAGAACTCATCATTCATCCCAATCTGATACTGTGCTAGGCATTCTCCAGGGTAGTAGCAAACGCCTCTGCTGAGTTATCTTTCTTTGTCTTATGCATTTTTTGTTGTTAATTTTATTATTGAAAAAGTTGTTTATGTTGTTACATTTTTTCAAGGAATCCTGTCTGATTTTAACACATGTATGAGAAACATCTTGCTGGAGCAAGAGCATTCAGCTGCCATGTTTTTCTCCAGTGACATCTTGTATTCTATGCCCTTTTCAGTCAATTCTGCAGCTGTTAAGATGTGATTGCCATAGAATATTGTTTGGGAAAAGCCTGCCTCTTCTTTTCTTATACTTTAATCGAAGATACCCTAGATGCATGTATTATTTTCTTTACAATTTTGGAGGCATATGGGTTAGTAATTATTGATATTTTCTTGGTCACTGTTTTTGCTAACAAGAGTCTGATTTTTTTCTAAGTGGTTGGTATTCTCCCCAATATCAGTTATTTGAAGAAGAATCAATACCTTAAAACCTTCAAAATTGTGCTTCCTACAAAATAGATTTCTGGGTATGCTTGATTAGCTCATCTTTGATTTATTGAATGGCCTTTCTGCTTCGTCATACTACATATTGGGGTCTGTGAATTAGTGTCCAAATGTAGTGGATCTGGGCAACTAGGTGGTGCAATGGATAGAGCACTGGGCTTGGAATCAGGAAGACTCACCTTCCTCAGTTCAAATCCAGCCTCAGACACTTATTAGCTGTGTGACCCTGGGCAAGTCATTTAACCCTGTTTGCTTCAGTCCCTTATCGGTAAAATGAGCTGGAGAAGGAAATGGCAAACCATTCCAGTATCTTTGCCACAAAAACTCCAAACGGGGTCACAAAGAGTCAGATACAGCTGAAACAACTGAGCAACCACAACAGTAGTAGATCTACTCTTATAAATTGAGGAAATTGTTAAAGAAATATTTACAGATATTTTTAAAAATTTTTTTATTCATTAGTCATTGTTATGGTTTCAACCTTAAAGGCTCTTGCTATGACAAGTTTTAACTAATCTTGTTTCCACATATGTACATCACTTCTCACCATTTTCTGGGGATAACACTATTCATAGTCTTTTACCATCCTCCTTTGCTTTTTATACAAACTTACATTCTAAATGGGTGTTGCCCTTAGAAGTCATATCTCTTTGGTAAGGATATCAAGTAGTGTTTGGCTTCTAGATTCTTTTGGACTCCTTGATATGGTGAATGACTTATATTGATTAAACTTCCTTAGGAAATGGTGATAGTCTGTTTTAATGTCTATTCTCTAATCCATTTTTAAGCTTCAGCAACTTGTCTAAACAGATTTGGTTGAATTTGCCTCCATCATCTTTCTTCTAATTTAATGTTGGTTCTGATCTTTGCTCAGATATTTTGATGGTCTAATTATATGTAGACATCTGACTTGGAAATTACTTCCACTTCATAACTAGTCATTTCCTATCAATTAAAATGTAATCAAAGAGGCAATGTTATTGGCAATGAGCCAATTTCAAAGTAAAAAATAAAACGAAACAAACAAACAACAATGAAGGTTCAAGTACTTCTTCTGACACATACTAGCTACGTGATCTTAGACCAACCACTCCCTCTCTTTCAGTGCCCAGAACTGTGAGTCTAAGA